TTTCAATTCTTCTTTGTGGATATACAAAGAAGGTTGAAGGATTATTTAAATATTTAAAACATTATCTTACACAAAGAGTATTTTTATATGTAATTTTAAAACATAGCAAGTCTATTATATTTTTAGGAAAAAAGTGTGGAACACTTTGAACTCTATAGAATACACATCCTATTGAAATAAGATTTGAAACTTGTATGGGGCATTTTTCTACTTTGTATAATTTTAATTCACTTTTGATAAATTCGTCCCCCTTCCAAGCATCCTCCTTTTTTGTGTCTCTTTAAGAATATAGTGAAGAGTGATTCACTTACGTCCTGAGAATCGAAGAATATCAAATATATGACGCAGATAGATAATGGGGTTTTCCAGAGATTATTTCTGAGAGAGTTAAATAAATAAGTAAATGAGCCAACATATGGCCAGCTTAATTCAGGCAAAAATGTCTATTGATTACTTACTAAGCTTACTAAATAAAAACTTCAGCCTAAGTTTTGCTTCCCAAAAGAAAATAGGATTAGACTAATGTATGCACTCTCTGGGGCTTCTTGTGAATGGTGCCCAGATGAGTGAAAACCTTCAAAGATGAACAAATGTAAGGGCTAAAATATCTTGGTAAATGCAAGTTACTATTAGTTTGACATACTCTCTTTTGCAATCCTGAATGAAATAATTTTACATTCCTAGAGAGATCATAAAATTACCTCTGAGGTCTGAGAATTAGGTAATTCTGTCTTCTTTTCAACGACTTGCAGTAGCCTGATTTAATTTTCCTAGGTAGATCTGTTGTATGTATGTATTTTGACATACGTAAAAACTTAGGTATGTCATAAGGTTTCGCACCAGCTTTGCATAAATGTACTTTACCCAGACTAGTTTATATCCTGCATGGTTAATATTTGAATTATGTAAGAAATTCCAGATGGAAGTGTGTATGTAGTTTAAAGCACCAATGCTCTAAGTTGCTCCTTTATCTTTTGAAATAGTGAGAATGTTAAAACATCAGTACATCAGGTAGAAGAAATTAGATTATCAAAGGCTCTTTTTTAATCTGAGAATTACAATGAACCCACCAAAAGAACATGTTCTAGTTATTTGGACACATGTACATTTAACCTATGATTTCCTACAAGTCAAGAACAAACTTGACCAGTAGTTGGATTGGACTTACTTAGTACTACACCTATCTGGCTTTTTGACAAAATACGCATAGGTATTTAGGATCTTCGTGTCTTTTGAACAATCTGCTGTTGACATATTAATAACATTGTTTGGAATGATTCCTGAAGTGTGATGCCTGCAACATTCCTGCAGCACCAAATTGGAGTACATATTGTTTCTGAAAGCAACGCAGCTCAAGTTTTATACTAGTTTCTAGGTTTTAAATATTGGAGAAGCATTTATTTTTCTTGAAAACCAAGGTAAATATGCTTCTTTAATTGATAGCTGCATTCATTAGTAGAATCAGTGATTTACAAATACATTTGAAAACATAGCTGCTTCCATCTCAGAAATTTTGTAATTAAAAAAAAAGAAATCCATGTTTGAATTTTCTGGCATGCACAGGACACTTAACTGACTTTTAAACGTTTTTCCAGCGTGATTCGCACTGTCCTGCTCTGTTCCTCTCAGTTTAGGTCCATCGTTGGCTCTGCCTGGCTGTTTGCTCACATTGCCAACGGAGAGGGGCAAGGAAGTGTGTTCAGAGGACAAGAGCAAAAGCAGTTTCAATGTAAGGAAATGAGGGAAACAGACCTAACAGCACTGTGACTATACTTGAGAGTAAAGAGCCTTGTAGTCTCCTTTCCTTCCTTTGCTTATCCTGGTGAGTTTAATCAAAAACAAACAAAACGCTCTTGTGAAATATAGTCAATAAAGTCAAAGTTTCGCTGGCTCTACGTAACTACAAAGAAAAAAATCATCGCAATTTAAAAAAATGTAACTTTCATTAACGAGTGCGCCGGAAATCTCAGGTATCAAAGACGCATTAACCCTGGAGCGTCCCCCGCGCGCCGCAGCCGGACGGAGGCAGCCGCGGCGAACAGACGTTCTTTCTCCTCCAAGCAGTTACACAAAAGGAGGGCTGCGGAAACTAAAAGTTTCGGGGCCTTCGGCTCGGTGCGTGGAGAAAAGAGAAAACCTGGAGACGGGGTGGGTGAAAGACACATCCCGGGCGCGTCTCCGAAGTCCAGGCCGGGAGCAAGCTCCTGGGCCTAGAGGGGAGGGGGCCCCGAGCCGCCGGCCACCCCCCTGCGCCCAGCCTCTGAGCGCCGCGCTGCGCGGCACTGTCCCAAATACTCTTCACCCCGCTCCAGAAATAAAATAAATGTTTTTAAAGTACATGTGTGTGCACAGGATGGAGAGCGCGCGCCGGCGGAGCGCGCGGAGGAGCCAGCGCGCAGTGAGTGGAGTTTTGGGGTGGGCTAGGGGTAGCGGTTGAATGGGTGTGTTGATGGGGGGAGCTGGAGGTAGAGCCTGGGGACCTGGGGGTAGGGGGAGCGAGAGCCGACGGGGAGGGAAGAAAAGGGGAGGGGCGCGAGCTGGCGCAGGCCGCCTCCGGGGCGCGTTCCACGGCCGTGCGCGCGCGTCCCTCGCCGCCGCCGCCGCCGCCGCCCGGACAGCCCTGCGGCCGCCCCGCCGGCGGAGCCGGGGCCGGCCTGGTCCTCGGGCGGCTGCTCGGCCACCGCCACCGCCGTCCTAACGGCTCGAACCCGTAAGTATACCCTTTCGCTCCCCCTCCCCGCCGCTCGGGCGCACGGCAGCAGCAGCTGCTCAAATGGAGTGGAAAATGGCCATTGGGCGGCAATGAGTTATAGATTATCTGCTCCACGTTTTGTACTTAGCTGCCTGTAATCTTTTGAGTTTGCCCGAGCCCCTTGCTGGAAAAATCAGGAGGGAGAGATTTGTCCTTTGCCGCTGTACACGTTAGTATGTTTATATGATTAGCCCAACTGGCGGGGAGGGCGGATTTGGGGGGAGGAGGAGGAGGAGGAGGCTGGAGGTGACTCCAGTTCAGACCTCGCGGAGAGTCTGTGTCAGGACTTCGCATTCCCCGGTCTCTCCCTCTCTCCCTCTCGCTCCCTCTCGCTGCCTCTCACTCTCTCTCTCCGCTCACACACACGCAGAGGTGCTGGAGCGAAATCGGGAGCTTACCAGAGAATTCCTTGGGATTGTTGGGGGCATCTCCCCTCAGTTGCTGTGCGTGGCGTGGCTCTTCCCGGCTCCTCCTTGCTTCCCTGAGTCCGAGTCTGCGCCGCCAGCCTTGCTTGGGGCAGTGGCCACCGCTCAGCCCCGGCCGGGAGATCCGAAATGTGAGGAGGGGTCGCCGCCGCCTCCCGCCCCAGGCCGCAGGGTCGGCGCGAGGGATGCCAGTCCGGCCGGGCGTTGTGGGGGCTGAGGGGCTTCGCCTGACAAACTGAGTTGGCCTCGCGCCGCCGGCGCTTGCCCGCCCGCCGCTTCGAAGGGACTCCCAAGTCTGCGCACCTCTGTCAGGCTTTTGCCTCCACCACCCCTTTCGCTCTGATTCCCGTTTTTTTGCTCTAAGGGAGCGTGCGGTCTGGGGGTGTAGTGCGTGTGTGTGAAAGACCTCTCGAAGAGCGGCGTATGGGAAACTGCGGGAAAATGTTGACTTAACCCCAGGAGCCGCCCGGCGCTGGCTGCTCGGCTGGAGGCGGCGGCGGCCGAGCAGGAGGACGCGCCGAGCCGCGGCGCAGTGTCCGGCCGGGGAGCCGCAGCGTTGCCTCCCGCGCGGATTCGGCGGCCGACGACCCGCTCGCGGCCGGCCTCGGCCCTCTCCGGCCGGGGTCGCCGCTGCCCTCCGAGCCTGTTTCCGCGCGGCCCCCGGGCCAGACGGCCCTCCCCCGGGGCGCGCTCGCAGACGGAGGTAAGAGCCGCAGGAGCGAACAATGTGCCTCTGTGCCTGGCTTCGGAGACCTGTTTGCTTTGCGCCTCCGGTCCGGGGGTGGATGCTGGAGGCAGAGGGAGCCGCGGGTTAGTGGGACTCGGCTGTTTGTTTATGTTCGTCCGGGCCAGGGGGAGACCCGCGCTTGCTCGGGCCGCTCGCTCCCTGCCCCCCAACCTCCTCTCGGAAATCGATCCGCCGAACTCTGAGTCCGGTCCAGCCGGCTGCTTCTTTTCTCGTGGAGCTGCGGTAACGCTCTTCAGGCATCAGTCTAGTTGTTGGGGGCGCTGGCAAGGGGGGTTAGGATGAGGCTCCGGTAGCCATGCATTTTTAAATTTCATAAAAGCCTGGGGTCGGAAGGTTCCGCCGCCCGTCCTTTCACTGGTGGACTGGGGAGGAGGACTGTGAAGCGCGCCCTCGACCGGGCGTATTTGCTCCGGGTGCTGGGGCCCGGGGCCAAACCACTGCCCCGCTCGCCTGCCCTCTGAGCGGCTGGAGCGAGTTCGGGGGAAGTGGACGGTGGGGGAGGGCTTGGACGAGTTTTTACGGGTTGCTGTTTCTTCTCTTCGGTGGTTAGGTGGTGTGGGGAGGCGAGGATGACAGCAAAACGCAGCCAGATGTGGTCGGGCCGCCGCCGGGGCTTTCTACGATTGGGAGCGGCTGGGCTGCTGCTGCCAGGGCGGCCTTGTGGGGCGGGAGGGTGCAGGGGCCAGGGGCCCGGTGGGCCACGGGGAGGGGCAGAGAGCCTCCCGGACCCGCAGTGAGAGGGCAGCAGCGGGCCGCGTTGGGCCTGCGGGAGAAGTTACGGGGTGTATGCTGCTGGAGTGGCTGTGGGGCAGGGAGCCTCGGGAGCCTGGTTTGTAGGATGGGGGTGCCATTGGGGAGTGGCGGCTAGAGAAAGGCGTGGGAGGAGCGCGAGGGAAGGGGAGACCCCCTGGCTGTCCGAGCGTGGGCTCCTTGATTGGCTGGGGCGACCCTCAGGCAGAGGGGGCGAGGGCGAGCCAAACCATGGAAGCGCCCCAGCAGTGTGGAGGCGCGCCTGCGAGACTTCTGCGCTTGGGACCCGTAAAGTTTGTTCCTTTCGCCAAACTACGGGGTTGGGGTGAGGGGAAATCGCTGGAAGCTTTACTTAATGCTAAAGTGTTGCTGAGTGGAGGCTTTTATTCCCCCCCCTCTGAAATCCTCTGTTCACTCTGCTCTCAAAGTATAGTTGGAGGGACAAGTCCTGCGGTATCTATCATAGCCTTTCTCTTTTTAGGGACTCCTCCCCCTCATCTTTTTTCCCTCTCCCCGCCCCCCATTCCGTTCTTCCTGATACAAACTGTTTCTCAGATTCAGACCAAGGAAATGTTTTCCTCCTGTTTCTTGAAAGGTGTCAGGCTGCTTAGCAGCTTCTCCCAAGCAGCCTGGGAGCGTCTGAGCCGCAGCTACCAACCATATGGTTCCCGTTACAAAGGCCAGGTTCTAAGGCGCTCTCTTCCCCACCCCGCCCTCAATTCTGTGATTTTATTCTGCATTCTCTCAGTACGTGCGCTTCTCTTCCCCTTTCCAGAGGCACAGATTTAACGGACATGATTGATTCATTCATTTCCCTGTCACTATGTCTGGAACGGATCCCACCGAGTTTGCTCTTTGCTCAACGAAGTTGCACAACTAAGAAAGTCACATCCTTTGGTAAATAATTACCTGTTGGGATGTCTCTTGCTAAGTTAGGTTTGATCTTGGGGAGACCTTAGAAGATAGGCAATGTGCATCCATAGCAGAAAAATAGAATAGTTTTGGTACTCATCTGTGGCAACATTCCAACTTGTGATGGGACTGTTTTGACCTAAGTAAGGGTACTTTGTAACTTTAAATTTTGTATCTTTGTAATGCTTGAGAAACCCTTTAAAAGAAAATTTACTTCTGTCCAGGTGTGTTATGGGACTTTTTGTTGTCTCTCCCTCCACCCTTCCGTAAATTTATGCATAATAGAAAGAATACTACAGAACAAATGTTCTGTTGTTTAGTTTCTTCAGACATTCCGATTCTCTCCTTTTGTTGTTTGCCTCTAAAAGAGGTGCCATTTCACATCATTCTGCACAAATTGTTTGAATTAATGCAAGTGTGAATTCTTACCGTTTGAAGGGGACTATTAGCATATCAAAGGTTTCTTAGCTTTAGCTCAATTGAGAAAACTTCAGCCTGTCTTCCTTTTGCTTCCAAACGGAGGCCCAAAGGGCAATGAGAATTGTAAAGGGTGAAAATAGGGAGGTGGATTCAGGCTGTGTTTCTGAACTTTTACTGTTTTGTAATTATGTGAGCCAAAAACATTGTCTATTGCTGTGGAGCCCTTGCAAATGGCAAGACAATTATTTTCTATTGAAAAATGGTTTGTTCCTAGAAAAAGAGTGACCTTTTGTTTTATGATAGTCACTGTTGCCTGTCTTTTGGGGTCCCTTCAGTGTAAGAGAGTGAGAAAGCCTTTCCTTCTAACTTAATACTTTTTTAGAAACTACACTGTTTTATTAGTAAAATGAAAAGGGCATTTAATTAGTTTTTAATTACTCTCTAAAACAATAGAAATTTTGTCATTAAAAGACTCATTTGTACACGTAGGAAACCGCTTTTTTTATGTGCTAAATTAATAGGGAAAAAGTCAGTGGAAGATGTTGAAAATTAAAACCTCAAATGAACTTGACCCAACTTCTGTTGCAAATAGAAGCTTGGAAAAGTTTTTTTTTAAGTGAAGATTCAATTTTTTTGTGAATTCTACTTAAATAGAGATAATTCTGTTTAAATATTGTTTTGTTTCAAAATTTTTGTATCTTGTCAAACAGTAAACTCTAGTATTCAGTTGGTTTATTTTAAAAACTGTAGTTTATTTGTTTTTGCATTTTTATGTTTACAGAGAGATATGTTCTTTGAATTTCTTTTAACAACTCAATATCCATGAATGAAAAAAACAAGAACAAGTGCTTGGGTCATTTTGGTTAGTTATCAAGTGCAGATGGGCCAAGGGGGAACTTTTATCTTCAATTTCTTGGGAAGAAGTAGTTTTATTTATTTGACTTACGAATTTACAAAACTTAGTTCTAAGATGGAAATGAATTTCAGGGGAGGTTTTTTGGGAGATATAAGCTCATACTTTTTATAGTTTTACCTTAGTTGGTTGGTTGCTTTTGAATATGAATTGATAACCTTTCATTTACTAATGTTCAAACTCCTTGCTTTTATTTTAACAGTGAAAATGATTTCCAATATAACAATTTCAGAGGGGAAAAACTATCATTAATTGCCTAGCATTTTTAGCTTCAGTGTAATAGGATGATACTTTTTTTTATGGGTTACAATTTTTTTTTTCTTTTTTTTCTTTTTTTTTTTTTTGCCTTTGAGATTGTATATCATTATATCATTACCCTGAAATTATTTTGTGGTAGTTTATCTGATCCCTTCACTTGTCTAGGAAGTACTTTAGTGGTTAAAAAAAAAAAAAAAAAAAAAAAGCCACATTGATGTAATTGCTTTTATTGCACTTAAGTTGCTGTTAACTAGTCTGCTTTGAATGCAGAGTGTTATAAAGAAAACATTATCCTTTAGAGCTATTAGTGATAATCTAAAAATTGTCTTGAAAACATTGCTCTTCATTTTATATGAGGGTGATCTTGAATTCACTAAATCTCTAAAGGTGCAAAATGTAGTGAAAAGAAGATTTTTCAACATTTAGATGACAAAATTGGACTACTTAGGGAAAAATTAATGTGTTGTAGAAGCACTTCAGCTGCCATTTTCAATCACTGGGTTACTATGTGTTGGCAACAGAAAACGAATATAGAAATGGAGATAGCTCTGAGAGCAGGTAGTTGGGGAAATCAGAATATTGAATCATGTGGGGTAGAACAAACCAATTACTTCAAGTTTTGACTTGAGAATTTCCAATAAGTATAATTTTTTCCAGGCTTTTGCCTCTCCGCTTTATTAATGAACTAACATCAAAGCAGGCAACAAAACTTCCAAATGTTATAAAAACCAATGTAAATATACAGATCTCACATGCAGTAATACAAGTCTCAATTTAAGACAAACAGTTGGGGTTTTTATTGCTGTAATTTTCACAATCAGCAGAAACATTAACACCAGGCTTCTGGGTGTTTCCTTTTTTGAAATGAGCTGGAAGAGAGCTTTAAAACTAAGGTTTACTTAGGGTTAATCTTTATTTGATCATTATTGAAGCTTTCTGTGTTTCATTAAATTTAAAATAGCGTTTTAGTATCTTAATATAAGAATATGTGAATTGAGATTGAGATGTCATGAAGGTCAAGAGGTAACTAGAAATCTACAAACCATAGTAATAAAATGTTATTGCTTTATTTTCTATCAAAATATTTATTTGACCTCACTTTTGTGAATAAATAATTCAAATAACACTCAGTTTATTGACAGGTGTAGGTGGAAGGAAGAGAGCATTACAATGTATTCTAAGATGTAGGTTAAACATACTTGTACCTACCTAAGAGAAATCTGTTTTCATTTTAATGAGAATCCATACCACTTGCCCAATGCTGACATTTAAGAACATAGATGAGGGTTACTTAGATTAGGAATGGAAGATAGCTTTGGAAATGGAGGAATTTAGTTTCACATAAGATGCTATTTTTACAAAACTTTCTTCAAAGACTAGCTCTTTTGCCTCTTACTGTTTCACCGTATCTGATTTTGAGTCTTGAAGGGAGAGATGCACATTTGACGTCTGTCTGCTTTTCTGCGGAAAAGATTTATGTAAAAAATAAGTGCAATTATTTTCAAGGTAATATATTTTGCAAATAAAATGCATCATTACAAAAAATGGTTCCTCAAGATTATTTGCAAAAATGCCTAGCTAAAAATGATGCAAATTGATAGATTTCGATAAAGTATTAAAAATAGCAAGTTTAGCTACTAGACCTGAAAAGGAGTTGAAGTTCTGTGAATGTGTTGGTCATATCAGTTCCTATGGGTTAAATATTAGTTAATGTAACCTAAATGGATAACTTTTGTTGCTATTTTTTAACGAAGATTGAAACATTTCTATTTCCAAGGTAGATTAAAATCATAGGCTAGTTTTCTTCTGTCTTACATAAGACTAATTATTCTATAGCCCCACCCAAATATTCATCTCTTCAAATAATCCTTGATTGAAGGTTGAAAGGTTGAAAAGTATTTAATCACTCAGATTATTGTAATTAGGCTTGATGCTATCACAAAAATAAATTGAGACTATTCTCTAAAATCTTTTTGCTACTTAAGATGCTCTCAAAGATTGGCCAGGTAGTGATTATATTTTTTAATACTTTAAGAAAAAGCTTAAGGAAATAGTTTCTTTAACACAGAGATGAATAGTTAATTACTGGAATTAGGGAATTATAATCCTTGACCTAGTGTGAGAACTTCTAAAGGAGTAACAAGGGTCTGTCAACTCTAAATTTTACTCAGGACTTTAATCTGGTATTTTGAGTTTAGTATATAGGTTTTGTTAAGCATGTTAAGTATGGAAATTTTCTTAATGTTTTGATTGTTTCGATGTAAGCATTTTTTTTTTCTTTTGTGAGTCACAGTGTCATGAGAAAAGGGAAATCCTAATAAAAAATATTACAATTTTTTTTCCTGAGATCATATATCTGCTGCACTAAGTAGGCAATAATTTATAGATACTTTTTGAAATATTCTCATCCAACACTTTTTTAAAAGCTTATTTTATTTTATTTTTTTTTTTAATAAAAAACCTCCTATAGTTGACAAATAAACATTATCTAAAAGAAAAAAAAAATGTAGATTGAGTAAAGGAACCAAGCGCTTAATACCTGCAAGTAAAGTGCAGCTTATAGCAATGTACTATTGATTGCTTCAGAAGCAGAAAGCAAGTTTAAATACGATTTGTTTCACTACAACGAAAATGCAGTTTTATGAAGTAATATAGTTTGTCTTCACAGATGATTTTATGCATTGTCTGGTAGTAAGTAAAATCCCATCACACTTACATAAATTTGTTCAATTACTAGAATGACTGAAAGTAAAAAAATCAACTTAGGTTGAAAAACAACAGAAATTAGATTACCTTGGTTTATAGGAACTTGCCAGTAGTGTCTGCATTGCTTGATAGTATCAAAAGTTACCATGTTCACAGTGTAAGGATATTGGCACCTGTTTTAATGTGCATACATTTGTTTTCTTGGTGACTTGTTAGATGAAGAGTTTTTTCTTTTTGCTTTTCATTTTTATTTTGTTTTTATGAAAGCTATTGCATGACATACGGGAAACTATTTCCACTGGCATATTCTCATTTATTTTAGAGGTTTGTTTTTAAGTAGTTGCTTTTCTATATTCTTTGGATTTATAATCAGTTGATATTTTAGATTAGTGAAATATCAGGTATAATGTTAAGAATCAAAGAAACCTACTCCATTATAAGATATAAATAGGTTATCGGCAATGAAAATACATTTTGGCAATTCTTATTACTGACTCTAGAATTACAGTGAATTCTAAATACCAAATTCCTGTAGCAATAAAGTAGCATGGGATTCATCGTAGCAGATAGCTGGGCACCTGTTTTATTACCACCTTGATTAATTCTGGCACCCTGATTTACCGAAGTGCAGGAACAAGCACAACCGCTACTCAAAGCCACCCGGCTGTTTTTAGGTCATGAAGTCAAC